GTTTGCTCACAGAGCACTTTGATTTATTGCATGTTAGCATGTTATGTTTTTCAATCAATCCTACCACGTGGTGTTTGTACACAAGATTTGGGATTTAAGTCTTTGACCCCCTAAAAGTGACCAGCATCTAATTTCTCTTTACAATATCACCCCTGAATCACACCTAAGGGTCACGAGAGTTACGGAAATGATCTCCATTTAAAGAAGCTCTTGATTGTTAAACGAATTCTCCTTGTTAGCAACTTGGGAAATGTATAGAGAACAGTGTGCAGAATATGCATACTGATGTTAGGGTGCTGATATAGAGTTAAAGAAACTTTCATACACATAGAATTTTTCTTAATCACTTTCTTTGTTTAATGCCTGTATATGGTTTTGATCCCAACAGCGAGAATCCTGACGGAGCCCCTTCTTCTTTCTGTATCGTGCGAGTAACAGCAAGAGGACCGTGTATTGTCATCAAGGTAGCTTTCCTTGGAGGAACTGCAGGTCACATAAGACATCAGGTAAGTGATATACGTACAGTTAGCTCTTGCCTTGTGGAGACAGGCAAGGCTGGGGGATGATTAATTTTTCATACCTACAGCGTGGGCGCTTATTCGAGGTTTGGCGCTTAATCGATTACATATGGTACATCTCCCCTTAAGTTAATGGCTTAACCCTTTAACTCTTAAGAGTGATTGGTATCTAATTTCTCCTCACAATATCAACCTTGAATCATACATTACGTTTATGGGAATAAAGGATACGATCACCCACTAAAGAAGGTCTTGTTTGTTAACTGTCTCCTTGAATCATACTTAAGGGTCACGGGAGTAACGGAAATGATCACTGATGTCAGGGTGCAAATGATTAAGGATAAATAGATGAGCGAGTTGACTTGTAAAAACAAACATGAAAGCATTGAGAACAGTTTGAAAAGATGTAAACGAAAAGGGTGATTGAATAGAATTGAATTAAAAGATCTACAGGAGGAAATGAGTTTAGTTTGAGGCCAAACAACTTGATGACTTTGTTGACCGTGCGTGTTTGCAATTTATCTTCTCTAGATTGTATCAGACCTAAAGATAAAACTCGCTGATATCACAGCTCCACTAGGTGTGATTAACAAACCTCAAAAAGCCCAAGCCAAGGGTAAAAGTCTTCAACGCGACGTGCAGTTATCGAAACAGCGGACTGTAGTTGAAAAGCCGTGCGCGATTATGTATGAGAAATCTCTGGATGGGATCTTGATTCGGTACGATCGAGTTCCAGAGGACCTCTTTTCGGCATACCCAGAAAGGCCCAGTTATTCTATGTACTCAAGTTTGACGGGAAATTATGCGTATAAAACCAATGATAATCACATGAAGGTCCTATGTCAGTATCTGCATCACCATCGTTGGATTTGGACGATGCAAGATGAACGATCACCAGCTTTAAGTGCTGAGAAAGTTGCAAGAGTGCTCTCTACTCTAACAAAGTAAGGAAGGAAAGATGTTGTCTTTAGCACTGAGTACTAATGCTGTTCCGTAACTAGTAATGACGACTCATTCCCAGACTCTTGATGAAGTCTACTTGTCCTCCTCCTGGAGGAGAGAAATATGTAAATTGTAAGCAAGCAAAAAGGATAAAATTTTAGTATGAGTTGCGTTTAGCGGCCCAACATCCCTCGCTTTCAGTCCCCCATAATAGATATAGACTGTATACAGTAAATGTGGCTCAGTCTGAGTTGTGTTGTCTCACACTTCTGATTCGTAGGCTACGACTGCAAGAGGGATACAATTTTGTGAACAACAGCGCAGGGATTATCACCATGGCAAAAGAACTCAAGATGAAGGTGATTGAACGTCCATGTCCTTTTCAAATGTGAAATAAGTGATGGATACAAGTCTGAGTAGAGTCGAATTCAGTCTTAAATCATACTAACTAATCTTAGTGATTGACAACATCAGATGACCGCGGAGTGACGCACAGTCTTGTTACCAATAAGTCAAAACTATAACAAAATTTGAGGAAAAAAAAACTATCGATCTGATATTCGTTTTCATAATTAAAAAACAACCGTTAACTCGGCGAAATGCGCCAGGACATCCTGCGCACTTGATGCGTACTGTCCAATTACACTTGCATGACGTGCACACTGTCCAATTACAAGCATAACGCATACTCTGTCCTCTTAGTGCTCAAATCGGGCTGGTGATAACCAAATGCGTTCGAGAATTTTGTTATACTGTTGATTACAAATTTAACATTAACGTACATGGACTTATTCTGAGGTCGCAAAAACTAAAACTGAATACTTGGATGTTAATGTTCTCTTTAAGGATCACACACAAGACAGTGACCAACCGTATTCCTGTGTCATTCAATATGTGCTGTTCCCTCCATATCTTCAGTCATGTGAGCCAGAACGGTCTGAAGAGTCCGTTCTTGACTGGGCGTCCCTAGGAAAGGCTGGACGCAAGTTTAACATGGTCACAGAGGTGTGGGCTGAACCACAGTTTGGCTGCTTGACTGATTTGAAAACGGAGCTGAAGTATCTGGAAGGACTTCAGTACGATCAAGTTCCAGATGCAGTAAGTTCAAAAGCAAACATAAGGAAATATCTTAAGGAGCTAAAGAATACGCAGAGAAAATACGAGCAAGCTGACTGACGTATGGGAATACGAGCGTGACCAAATCGCGATTGGTTTTAGTTTCGAATTTGATTGGTTGAGACATCTTTTCTCGACCAATCGCGTAGCGAAGTAAAGTAAAACGAAAGATTCTCAGATTGCTTTCGACACAAAACTGAAAATTGTCCAGGAAAATACGGTGACAGACAATGTGTTACACTTAACACGTCGCATAGTTCTTTAACTTGAACTCCGGGCTATGTTTATTTTACCGGTTAATGTGGTTTGTATTATTTGTCTTTTATTATCAGATTTATCAAGCTGATGTAAAGCACGTGTCGGCTCTGCTCACTTACGATCATCTGTTGAGTATGTGCGATGACAAGACTGTTACCACCCCCCACAGACCTTGTAAAGCGCCGCATGAGAACTCTTTACTGTTCAAAAGTAATTGGAAAGTAGAGCAGTCGCCGTTTCCATTTGACATCATTGATTTATTGTCCAAAACTCGACAAGTGGAGATGGTTTTTTCTTCCCTGATCGAGACCTCCTCTCCAGGTATTATTCTTTCGTGATTAAAAGTGATTTTATAAATTGGCCAGTTTAGAGAGTTTCGAAAGCTGACGTTTCGAGCTCTGAAAAAAGGCAAACGCTCGAAACGTCAGCTTTCCAAACTCTCTTAGTTGGCCAATTGAACACGCAGTCGGGAATTGAACTCGCAGGATTATTGTCACATTTGAACCCGGTGAATGTGATATACATGCAGGCCAACAACTGACTCGTCCCCAGGCTTCTCTCTATTTTGAAATGTAAACGCGGGAAGCGCGCGAGAGATGTGCAGTTGGGAAGATGGGAAGAAGGAAAAGGGAGATACTTCCCTCTCAGTCCTCTTCCTTCCCATGGTTCCTGTCGCCGTGGTAGTGCGACCACCTACTCTTGGACGATAGAGGATCAAAATTTCTTTTATCTTTTTTTTTTTTTCCTTTTTTTTAGCCTCAGATGACCTCGACGATTTGCCAAACGAAAATCTTTTCAAGCTTTTAATAGAGAACATGGAGCGTTTGAACGATCGTGAAGTCGTACTAAGTGACGATGACTGGAATCGGTTCACACAGCACATCCTCATTCGGCCGAGGAATGGCGTGCCTCTTCCATTCCCTGAGGAACTGTGTCAACGGAAAGATTCTAGCGATTCCACACAGAATGACAAAGAGAAAAAGTCCAAAAACAGAAGCACTTCTTCAATGAAATGGAAATGTTTCATTCGTGCAGTGACTGCTTTTGGCGGCGGTCGCCTCATTCTCACATTTCTACCAGCAAGCTTTAAGTATGTTAGGTTCATAGGAAGACACCGGCGGAGCAGGAGCTCTAGTGTTGAGAGCAGCCCAAGAAGCCCGCACGGCACGTCAGAAGTGGAGCCTGAAGGAGCCACCGATGAAATAAGTCCTCACGGCGCATTTGGACTGCAGAAACTAGATAATTTACTCGTATCACAAGGCTCTCTTGAAGGTTTGTTTAATATTTTAGTTGGGTTGATTACAATAAGAAACTAAAATTTGTTCGTCGAATTAGCCTTTCCTCTCCCTGGAGTGAACGAAAGAGAATTTTCCTGACAAGATCAATAGATTTTTACGAAAAAGGAAAACGAGAACAAAGAAAATATCGGTTGGGTATAATGCTTGATTTTATACCAAATCATTAGACTGGAAATTATGACAAAAAGTATGGCAGACAAAGCAGGGAATAGATTATAGATTTTGGCAATGAAAGGGTTAATATAAGCTATCATAATTAGATTCTATGGGTGGTATGAAGAAAGACCATTGCAAATATTTCTGTTTGTGTGAAGACTTTAAGTTTTCTTGAGTAATTATGGGGTTCTCATCGCTATTACGTTATTACTGTAGAGGTGATGTACCTTTCCTGAAATAAGAAATGAAAATCTGTCACAGCAAAATGTTCGGTGGATCGGGTAACAAGAATTCAAAATGTTGATAAATAGCAGTATACTTTTTTGTTTGTTGTTTGTAGACCAAAGCCTGACACCTACACCGACCGCAGAGAAAGACGAAAGTCCATTTTTCTACTCTCAGAAAACAAGCAATTCACTCGTCTCTAATGAAGAGTCAAAACTGTCAATCAAAAGTGATGATGAAAAGAAAAGCGTAACATTTCAAGAAAACTCCACACCTATCAAAGAGCGCAAAGAGTCTGTCTTTCACGACAGAGGCTTTGGTAAAGATAGTGACTCTTTTAGTTGGGACATCCCGATATATTGTTATGACTGCCCGATGTCAGCCCTCGTAACAATACCTGCTGCCGAGTCCGATACAGAGGGGACGTCAGAGGAGAAGCGCGAAGATATATTTCAAGATTTTACGCAGTTTGCTGCTCATGTATTTGTGGATCCATTCAGTTTAGACGAGGTTCCGAGATCCTTAGAGGGGCGAACGAAAGGAAGGTTTGGCCCCTCGAAAGACCTTCTGCTTCACTGCAGTGCGGTTCATGATTTGTTTTTCCGAAGTTTTGTGACGTCAACGTTTTCAAGTTTGCAACACGGTCAGCAGGTGAGCATGCGAGATGTCCATTCAGCAGTTGATGCCTGCGAAGAGAACTTCCTTGAAGTAGACATCACAGAGTTTATCCATACTCTTTGTGGACACTATATCAAGAGCAACAAGTCCAAGGAGGCTTTTTTTGAGACAACAATCAATGAGGATCTTCTGTCTGTCCCAATTTGGTTACCGTCAGAATCATACGAAGAAAGAGTGAGGGATCTCAAGGAATCTCTGGTTGGACGGTGTGAATCTGTAGATGGTCTGCATAAGTCGATCACTGCAAAGTTTTTTTCAATAATGGGAAGATACTTCAAAGCAGTTCCTCCAAGCCGAGAATACTTCTTCTACTGTCCACAGCAGTCTGAGGTCCCGAGAAAGGTACAATGTGACCACTTTCCCCCTTGCACATTTGTAACAAGACGAATAACGTGTTTCCCTCTTTTTTTTCAACCTTTCAGTCTGCTCCTGAGTCGTTCTCCGACCTCGACAGCGATGTGGACTCGGATGCCTCTGATGATGCTGACATCTTTTTGGACGATGGAACAGTTCAACAGGATGAGATACAGGATATGTCTGACTCTGAAAGTCAAGCGAGTGATATCGAATTTGAAGGAGATGCTGATGTTGGACAGGAGGTGAAGTCACCGCTCTTCCTACAGCTGACATGTTCACTGAAAGATACGAGAAGTCATGGACAGCCAATGACGCCTGTTTCTATTAACACATTACCTGTGTGTCTCGGTAGGAACAAAATGCCACTTTGCACTACTAACTTTGACGAGAATTTGCGCATGAAAGACTACTGGAAGATGAGAAATACACTGCAGCACTATGTCATCGAAATTTTAAACGAGCAGTTATCTTACGATACCTCTTTTTGGAGGAGTTGGTGGGAAAACCTCATTGCAGTGCCTCGTATTTTTTATTTGAGTGAATTGGTGATTATAAAAAGTTGAAGTTCACCCGGGAGCTCGCCTCGTAATCCTTTTTATTCTAATTTAGATTCATCAAGTGAGTTGATGATGTAAATTGGCCGCCGTAAAGAGTTTCTAAATCTGACGTTTTGAGCGTTAGTCCCTTGTCAAAGCGAGATCATTCGCTCTTCAAATTAGCCATGCGTCATTCGCGCTGACAAAGGGCTAACGCTCGAAACGTCAGCTTTAGAGCCTCTTTCCGGTGATCAATTTATGCCATCAGTTTACATTATCAAACGAAATAATCTTGAAACGCTCCCCAGCTTCGTAGAAACATACCCCTTTCTACGTTTATCATTTTAAATGTTTGTCTCTCGGTAGGAGAAATTATCCGCAAGTTTGAAGATGATGATGAATGTCTGGATCCCTTCAGTCCATCCGTACGCATCACTCTCGATCTTATCTGTCTGACCCTGCCAGCTGAACATGATTACTCTGTTCTTAAGTCTTCGGCGCGTCGTAGCTTTGCACGCTCTAATTCCTTCTCCAGTACCAGTTCGCCCATTTCTGCTTCTCCTTCGGATAAAAGATCAGGACTTTTTGACTTCAGACGGCAAGATTCTAAAGCCACTTCTCATGATATGGAGAGGTGAGAACGAGGCCTTGTTTGAATTGGCAGGATATCAACAAAGTTTAATTAAAGCTATGTTTACACAGACGGCTACGTTCTCCGCTGACTTTGCTTACTTTACTCCCAGTGCGTGATAGCAATTTAAAATATTTTCTTTTTAGTAACCAAATTGCTGTATTGGTTGCTAAAGATGCATTTGGTCAGTGAGCTCATAATCATAAATGAACTTTTTGTCATTTGTCCCACGATGTGGGGTGTCCATCAGTTGTAGAGACCAGTTGTCGATTTTAGACTGTAACCTTTCAACTGCCCTGTGTGTAATCTCTATCTTGTCGGGATGATATACAGTATATGGCTTGAATCTACAATTTAAAATGACTTCATGGTGAGACACAATAAAACGTTCACTTTTCATACTTTATTCAATGATTCATAATGTCTCATGGGAACTGGAAGAATATAGTGATTTAAAAATAACCTCAGAGTTTACCTTAGGAACAAGGTTAATGTGAGGATCAGTCTCCTAACTTATCGTCTCTTGAGTTGTATTATATAAATAGAATTATTCCTTTTTTTTCAGAATTGAAAGCTTGGATCCTCTTCATGGTCTCGTAAATTCTCAGCGTCAGGCAGTGAACAACACATGTGAGGCCATTCGTTGGCTTTTGCAGGATGAAATAGTCTCAGAACTCCGCCATATTGGACCAGTCGATAACTCGATGCTGGAACAGGTCGAGCAACATGTTCAGCAATCTGAATACCATCCCTCCTGCATTTCCCGCCGTGTTCACCTGCAATTTGTCTATGGGGCTGAACAAAGCTTAGAAGTCTTCGTAAAAGAATTTGAGAGAATCAGCTTGCCAGAATGCGTCCTGAAAAACGTGGACAAATACTACTACTTGACAAGCTTTTCGGAGAAACAGATTGCGGCTTTGTCGCCGTTGACTCAAGGAGAGAATGGAGTTTATTTGGATAAACAGCAGGAAGAAGATGCGACAACACCAAATCCTGACACGGATGGTGAAAATTACGACCAAAAATCTTCCCATACTTCAGCTAATGATCGTCTGTCAACGGTTTACATTGAAAAACAGGCAACAACCACTCAGCATGAAGAAAGCACGGAAGATAATCTCAGGGAGAACGGAATGATTACCCCTCCCTCCAGACCACCGCATCTTGGCCAGCTAGGCAGGCAGCGCTCCGAAGAAGAGGAAGAACCAGGAAACACTGCTGCATCTACCCCACTCAGGAATGATGCTTCATTCGCTTCTTCCGCTGGTAGCACGCCTATAGGGAAGCTGATCATACCAGGTGAAGATGTTGGTGCGGCTGACTCAAGTAACGCAGAGGCAGAAGAGGACGAGAGCTGCCCGCCCGGTCCTTGTACGCCACGCCATGATGAACTGAGTGTTTCATCATCGGAATCGTGCTTGAAATTCTGGCTGGTCATGAAAATACTGGACAGTGAAGTGAACATCGTCTTTCATCAAAGGTGAGAGGTCGTCATTTTCTATGTGTTCGCCTTTTTACGCCTAAATTGTTCTACGATACAATAAAGGGAAAGCGCGCCGCTGCATTTACAATAGTTTCTTATTACCCTGCATTGGTGGATTCCTAAAATGCAGATGGATGCCCACACAATATCACAACACATAAGCTAACCAACAACAGGTTTTGCAACACTAACCTATTTTATTGCAAAAAACAGAGTCAGTGGGTTTGTTATTGTGACACAGCTTTAAAGCGAAATTTTTTTTGCCTTTATTTTGCTAAAATGAGGTCATTATTTTTCATTTTGGTCCGCCACATCGCAAACATAAGAACAATTTTGGGTGTGAGCCATTGTTGTTAGCCAACACAATGTGATGGGTCTCAAATTTTCAAACACAGGGAGTCACATGATCCGAAGTCTTTTTGTGCAACGAGAGCCAATGGTCTGGTTGAGATGGTCATAAATGCTTTACATGAAAAATGCCGTATCGTCAATCAGGTGGGAAATGGTTACGTTAAAGGGTACTTTAAAATGATGAATTTAATCAGAATGGCTAACGATCGAAAAGTCATCTTTGAAACCCTTTACGGTGGCTAATTTAGGTTATCAACTTAGTTGATCATACCAAATTACACTTCTGACGATTGGTTGATCAGTAGTTATTGGCGAACATTGTGACATTTGAATGTAATAACTGTGGAACACCACACTTGTTTTTGGTAAAATAGTTCCTCATCAGGGGCCCCTTCAATTGATACATAAAGCTTCCAAAAATTTATTTTGAAGACGTTCAGTTCCATGTAGCTCCAAAAAGCGCCTTCGTAAAAAATTATTTCAAATAGGCCCATCATGGGTTTCATTGAAAGCCGGTGAACCGCTGCTTACAAAACCTCTTGCCAGGAGGCTCTCGTAGTTTGGTTTCCCCTCACAGCCTCCCTACACCATGGGCGGCCAGTTCTACAAAAAAAAGTTTTTGAAAACCCTTGGGCCACGATGAATCAGAAATGCTCACTTATTTCGAAACGCAACGTCAACAGAATGGAAATTTTCGTTCCCATCACCGACTTTTATAAAGAGTCATGCAATTTTTGGGTTTTGAAAAGAGATGCACAATATTGTCACAAGTAGGAGACCTAGAAAAATGTGAATCTTCAGAGTCTTCAAGAGTCAGATCGGATCCTCTTCTAAATGAGCTACAGAGAATTCGTTAGCGTGCTAACCCGTATGCACTGTTTACGGTTGATGTATGTTTGTGTTCATGCTAAAAAAATCCTACAGAGCAGAGAAACAAGCGCTGACTTAACTAATGAACATGCATTCCCTTCATCCATAGCGAATGTTGCTACATGAACTATTTGAGACCAAGCTGTGCAATTCAATGTTATTCCCTGAGTCAGACGAGGACATTTGGAAACATGAAGATATGCAAATCTCAGTTTCCCCCCTAGGTGTTCACATGACCAAAGGAGACAGTAAAGGTAAGAAAAGGCCAAAATTTGCAAGACATTTCTGCGGCGATCACTTTATATCTGAATTTAGATGAAGGTCTCAGTTACGAATATTACATTTGCCTCAAGGTCATCCGAAGGACTGCAGCTTAGACACGTTCAACCTTTTACACCTTAGCATAAGAATCCTTGTTCTCCTTTTCATCCTCAATACATTTCCCTGGATACTGACAAGGAGAATTCCTTTAACAATCAAAACTTTTTAGGTTGGCGATCATTTCTTTTATTCTCATAATCTTAACGAATGACTAGGGATATTATTGTCGGGAGAAATGAGTTGCTGATCGCTCTTAGAGTTGAAAAGGGTAAAAAATTTACTGATGTGGCATTAAGTGAGTGAAACCTAGACAACTTTGTGCGTAGGCTACAAGAACCCTTGAGGTAGAAATGCTACGTAAAACAACAACCACTTTGCTCGCACCCTTCTACCTGGCTTCCTTCATGCTGAAGCCTGAAGTTTTTCAGGCATGCTTCAATTTGTTGTTCTTTCTCTTCAACTTCTGTCAACCCTAGAAGACCAATTCGCCATCTGTTATCACATTCACAGTTCAAAGTATGTTTTATCTCATACACATTAGTTGCAATTATATTTTTTCGTAGGGAGAAAAGAATTCGATAACCTTTGCTCCGCCGTTAGCACTTGACTTTGTAATATATTCGTGCGATTGGAAGGTTATAAGGAGGCGAATTCACAGTAGAGTATCACATTACAAAGAATGCTGATCTATTTCTCTAGGTCGTGTCTCCAGTAAGTTTGTTCCAGTCCAGTTTCTTTTCCAACCTGGACACTTTGGCTGCGACAGTAAGTGGTACACCCATTTACCTGTGCATCAGCGACTTTTGGAAACCTCGGGTCGAACAGGGGTATCCCGTGGGCTGAAGGTCATTAAGAGTGCATTGGAAACGTTTGACGTGAGGAATAGGAAAGACATGTTTGTGTACAAAGATAGCGCTGGTTCTATCTTCTACTTCAGGTAATGTAAATTGTTTTGTCTCCCTTTTGAAGAAAGAATCAAACTTTTCAAGTAAAGTTGTTTATTTTAATTCTCTTCCATGATGAAAAAAACTGGTGTCCTAACTTGACAAACTATGATTATAAATTACCCAGAAACCAACTTCAATGTAATCACAACAATAAATCTGAACAAACGAAAGTACCAGCAACAGCCAATTAGAACGTAAAGAAAACAACAGCCGACTTGAAGCATTGAAAACACAAATGACCGAGTCGCAATTGTTGTTGTTTTTGCAATTTATTGGTTGCGAGGGTAACGCAATTTTTTATCCACTAGTCACAGTACAGTAAATGAAGACCAAGTTAATCTTGAATTACTCTGATAAAAATTTCTTTTGGTATTTAGTCGTGTAATCCTTATAAGGGCATTTGTGAGTGACTATTGTTTAGTAAAACGTAGCAAAAATATCTTCAGAGATACGCTAGTCAATTAGCCATTTTTCTGCTTAAGTTGTGGAAATAGAGATGTCACATCTAATAAAACTCCTTTAAAGGAAAACACTCACTCAATTAACATCTCATAAAGGACTGACATTCGGGAACGAAATAACTCACAGTGATGTTCCCATTGGCTCATGTCATTCTCTCTTTTACGTTTCAGGTTGTTTGAGTCTCTATGTTCGTCAAATCAATTTCGTTCTGACCTCTGTAGTTCAGGAGATGATGATGACGATTATCTTTCTATGGTATCGGTGACATCACTGGCTGGTTCAAGAACGTCATCACAGTTGTCCCTGTTGTCTTTCGTAAACAGAGGGCCAGGAGATGTAGATGAAGACGTCGCTGTAAGTTGTAACAGGGCGGCATTGAACTATTATTGAGGAGAACCCGGCTGGCTTGGGATGTAACATTACCTCTTCCATCCTTGATTGAGACCACCGCATAGACACTCTCCGGGGAAAGGGAGCGGGGTACTTCCTTGTAATAGGCTAATAGGGATGTGCCGCCGGATGGGTCGCATTCAATTGACTATAATGGGGTTGCATTTTCAATAGTGTTTCTAGGATGGGGTCGCACATTTCGGGATTTTAAAGTTAAGTCAATTGCGGGAGGTAGGGTTGCGATCGACGGCGTCTATAATTGGTCGCTGAAAAGATTATTATGGAGCAGGGGATCTGAGAGGCCAGCGGCACATACTTCCCACGGAAGTTTTACCTACGAAGATTGTCATTTAACCATTTGAATAAAAGCTATTGACTAGAGCCTTCAGCTTGTGTGTTTACTAAGTTGTATTTTCATCGTTTTTAACAGGAAGCGAAGTCAAAGAAGCTTCCAACGGCCCAAGAGCAAGACACAACCAGTATTCATTCAGCTCTGCCCATCATAGACAAAAGCATTGCACTTCATGTATACGGCGTGGACGATCCAGGTCCGGAGATCACTGTAGAACTTGTTGACCTTTTGCAGAACAGAATTAATGATGCTATGCTCGAGGTTTTGTCAGTTCTACTTGCCAGAAATCCAAACTGTAAACTGACTTATGCTGATGTCCGGGTAAGCTTTGGTAGGAAAGAAAAGTTTAATACGATGAAGATAGACCGAATAAAAATGGTAAAGGAGGCAGGTGATTCACGTGGATTACAAACTGACAAACATCAAAAGTTCAATCTGATTGCTGTAAGGCACATAATCCATTATCCGTTTGTCACTGGGCTCCTTCAAGAATTAGGAAATGCATGGGATAGTATCTTTAGGGAGCTAGCAGTACTCCCAGTCACTTCATAGCCAAAAGCTGGGACAAGCTCCGACAACATGGCTCACTTGTTTCAAGTACACCAACACTATGTATCGTTATCATTAACTCTTTACACCCTATCAACAATATGCATAATCTCCACACTGTTCTTGATACATTTCCTAAGGTGCTGACAAAGAGAATTTGTCAGCCAATCAAAAGGTTTCTTCCCCGTTGACCATTACATTTATTCTTATGATCTTAATTTGTGATACAGGAGTGATTTTGTAGGGAGAAAGTAGATGACAATCACTCTTAGGATTTAAAGGGTTAAATAAAAAAAAATGGAGGTAAAGTAAAACTCATCTAAAAGGATGGAACCTAGAGTTTACACCCTTTTTCAGCTTTCATCACTTTGAGTGTAATTATGCACGTTGCCACGAGCTTTGTTCGAAACATTCAGTTGCGGAGGCTCCTCTAACCTTCCACTTATTTAATTTCTACAGTTTATACAGCCTCAAAATAAACCACCAAAAACAACCCTCACTTTCCTAATCCCAAAAATGGACGTCAATTTCCTCTGTCCGTTGGTATTCTATTTGCGACAAAACCTTTTGCAGCTCCTACACTTTCCAAGATACATGGACTCGGATCCTAGCCATCATTTCAAGGCCCTAAGCGGAAGTAAGCTGGACGCTACTGGAAGTGCTAGTGGCGAAAGCCGTAAATTGGAGCCAGAGATTTACTTGTACAACAGGCCGCATTCATCTGGAGGAAAAGGTTTGAGATAAAAACACGTGGATATTGTCATATCAGTAGCTAGGTTGATATGTGTTAGTTCAATTAATTAAATGTTATGTCGATTTGCACTGCTGATTATTTGCTTGCTGTTTTTTATATTTTCAGGTGTGGCCTGTATATCTGTGTCCGTTCTCAACTGGCGTGGTGGATATATTTACATTCCATGTGGAAAGAGAGTTTGTGTGTATGCTGGGGAGATCGACTTATTCGAATACTTAACTGAGGTGTCCTTATGTCCAGACGAGCTTCACCTAGGTAATTATTAAAGGAAGTTTTCACTTGAGTTTCAAAAGTACTTAATTTAGTTTGGTTTCACTATTTCAAAACATAGAAACGTTCGTTGTTTATTTATTTATTTATTCATATATTTGTGTGTGTGTATTCCAATGATGTCCTTGTTGAACCCAAGGATTGTTAACGTTTCGATCAAAAGGAAAACGCCTTTTATTTTAGTATTTTGAGTTTATTGGAAATTGATATGATCAGGTTTTTCTGTTCCTTTTCAGCCGATGATGATATCAAGGTGCAATTTGCAATTTGGGAACGTGGTGATATCGGCCTTGACCAGCTCTCTGAACAGCTGAAGCTCACTTTAAGGCATGCTCTTTGCGACCTGCTAACAGAGTACTACCTTTTGGCTGCGCCTTTATCCAAAGTGCCAAAGTTGTACCGGAATTCGTCGAATACACGTCTTCGGTCTTCCTCGGCGCCTACCTCCTCCTTACCCATACCACCCAAGGTGCCTACTCAGTCCCCTCCTGAGAAACCTGCCACGCCTTCCAAACGGCAACTGGATTTTGGCAGCCAGTCCAGCTTTCGAAACAAGAGGCCCTCAGTTTCGGGTCATCGCCAAACTCCATCTGATGGGAGCACTCCGTCTTCTGGTTCCACAGGGGCAACAAGGAGGTCCCCGCAGAATCCGTTTCTCTCCCAGCGGCAGAGTGTTTCTCCTTCTAATGCTGTTTCAAGGCAGAGCACAGTAGAGGATGAGGTTTTCCAGTCGAACTCAACCTCACCTGCTGCAGACGTTATAGAAGTATCAGCCAAGGAAAACAAGGCAAATAGCCATGGCGTTACCGAGTCAACAGATGATTTACCTGCAGAAGGTAGGGTATTACATTGCTTGAGGTTAATGGCGAGTATTACTTTGGGTTATCGCCGGCTCGTTGCGGTTTTAACCTATTCTGATCAGCCGTTGTGATTACTTTGGGTTGTATGACAGACACCTTTCAAATTAACTCTGTAGGTTCAGTGTATTCAGTAGGCTCGTTTTGCGCTTGCAGAGGTTGCAGGAAGAGGTCAAGCAACATTGGAGGGCAAGGACAAACTAGGGATGAAAAACGCGCCGGAAAAATCAGACAACTCGTCTGATATAGAACCAACATTTGAAAGTTTCACCGCAGCTGAAATCCAAGAGTCTCAAGAATTTACTTCGCAACCCGGTACCCCAGTCACAGAAAATGTAGCGTTTCTCTCAAAAAAGGAGGAGCAGCTCTCTGAGAAACTTAATAAACCATCAAGCCTTTCCTCTGCGAGTTCCATCAGTGGCTCCAAGAGCTTAAACTTCAGCGGGATGGAGTCATCAAGTGTAGGAGGACAATTGAGTGATGTCCAAGGCACCTGGCAGGATGTTGAGGCCGTGAGAAGGAAAGAAAGAGAAAAGAAGAAAAGGCGAATTCAGTTTGAGAATGGAGAACGCGGTGAACTTCATCCAAGGTTGTTAAACTGTCTTTAATTTCTTTTCATATTTAACCCCGTTAACTTTCAAGATGTGCGAATTCATTCTCCCCTCTTTTTGTCATAAACTCACTTGTAGAAATTGGTGCCATCTTAAGATAACCTCCTCGTTTCTCATTATCTGTTTAAAGTTTATTAATAATACAAATTTGAGGAGAGGTTATATGTTTTTCTCGTCTACGAGGCCTTATTGGTCTTTTTTTTTTTTTTATCTTTTTAGTCTCCAGGGCCTTTGTCAAGACATGTTCTTTTTCTTTCGTGAGCTTGAAGTCCCATCAGTGTACTGTATTGAAGGAAAATTGCTGAACAACTTTGCTTCCGACGCCTTTCTAGCCGAACTGTGCAACTTAATATCGTCTGTGTGTCCTGATATGAAACCTAGAGTCTACCGTGAAGCTCCTGTGTAAGTATGATCATACTCGTGTTCAATATTTAACTGTGCACATTATCCACAGTACATACAGCTATTCACAATAGCCACAGTAAAGACAGCGATCTAAACTGTCTCTAATAGATACAACTATATACACAAACTACAGTAGAAACATTATTTAAGGTAAATATAGCGGTCAACGCCATGTACAGAAAATACATATACCTAAACTGTCCACAACAGATTGATAAAGGGGTAAGTTTCTAAGGAAACTATGGTGCTGCGTCGATGGGAGAGTAGAACAAGATAATTTGGTGTTATCATCTGAGTTGATAATGGAAATTGGCCACCTTAAAGAGTTTCTAAACGTTTTGAGCGTTAGGGCTAAGTCAGAGCGAAACGTTGGGCTAACGCTCAAAATTTCAGCTTTAGTAACTCATTACGGTGAGCAATTTACGTTATTAACCCAGGTGATTTTATATTTTTTTATTTTTACTTTAAAAAATATTGGTTTTCGTTGCCCAATAGAGATTCTGCTGATGGCAACGAAGCCGATCATAGTCAAGAATTTCGCTACCTGCACTATTATCCAGCCAGACAGCCTTTGAAGGTGAGTTATTTATTGAATTCTGAAATTGTTATAGAATATCTACTGTAATGTATGGGTGGATACTGGCGTAGATCTGCTCTTTGCCGACTGATTCTGTCAGTCTCCCCGTTCTTCAGTCAGTCAGTCATTCAGTCGGACGGTCGATCATTTAGTTTTTCAGTTTGTCAGTTTGTTAGTTAGTAAGTCAGTTTGTCAGTCATTCCGTCAGTCACTTTGTTTGTTAGTCGGTCAATCAGTCATTCGGTCTGTCAGTTAAACAGTCAGTCAGTCAGTCTGTCTGCCTGTACGTCAGTCACTTAGTCAGTTAGACAATCAGCATTTATTGCAGTATTTCTCAAAGCCAGTAGATCAGTCCTTTACATGAAATATACTCTCTACGTTTATGCGGTGCTTCTAGGTGCAAGACATGGAAGAGTCCACCGCAGACAAATCAGGAAAGCCGTTCACAACTCTTCCAAATTCGTCACAGGTCTTTGTCGTCGTTGGTCGAAATGTGGACCAATGGCGAGCTAGTCTGGGACTTGAAGAAGGTGAGGATGTATGGCCGCTTTTGTGGGACGGCAGAAACAGAAAAAAAGAAAAAGAGAAGAACAAATCAAAACAAAAAAGTTTGAAGTTCCACATTTTAAGACGCTGCAAAACAAGTTAAATACAAAGCAGTATCAGCTAAAAATTTAAAAGAGGTTGATTAGCAACAAGTGTGTTTGATTAAGTTGGAGACTTTTAACCATTTATCTCTGATACTGTTACTTTCAGATTTATCTCAAGATGACGCCTTGGGCCGTCCGCGAAGTACGTAGTTTCATCAAGATATCGTACCATTTCAAAATCTTTTAATTGCCCTCTTTTTACGTCTGCATGACTGTCTGTTTGTCTGTCATTCTCGATACTCAATTTATGTTCCTGTCTGTTACTACTATTAGTTTGCCTTCCTATTTGCTTGTTGTGTTTACTGTTTATCCACCTGTATCTCTCGGAATGTATATATATATATTTTTATTTTTTCTTTTCAGTTCGCACAGGTCTTCAGCGTTTTAAGCCACTGGACCCAAATGCACTCGTTCCCGGCCGAAATCTCGCTGAAAGCGTATCTCTTTCTAGCTTGTCTTTGGGTGGGGTCCCTCGGCAGAAATTCCTATTGGTAACGGTCAAGGATAAAGAGGTGCGAAAAATGATAGGATAATTAAGTATTATCAAGTGAGTCGATAACGTGAGATAGGCCACTGTAAAGTTATCGTTTCGAGTCTTAGCCCTTCGTCAGAGCGAATAGAGGACTTGTGGGTTGTGTCTGTGGTTATATGCAGAAAATAGAGCTACGGCAATGCTGGAGACATGGTGACGAGACAACAAGGGTAAATTATGAAATTAAGAGATCCTCGCAGCTAAGAACACTACTGAAAAAATTCAGGCCCGTACGGGATTTGAACGCATGACCTCTGCGACACCGATGCAGCACTGTATCATGGGTTCAAATCCCGTACGGGCCTGAATTTTTTTTTTCCAGTTCCTATTTTCAACTACTCGTTTCAGTAGTGTTCTTAGCTGCGAGGATCTCTTAATTTCATCTCTTCACCGCAGTGCAAATATATGAATTTCATATATCTAAAATCATCAAGGGTAAATTAGTTGAATAAAAAGCGCTCGTTGATACCGTAGGGATTTGAAAGAGTTTTGCGGCTTTCCGAACTGCCTAGATGTAGGGAAAGGCCGCAAACTGCTATATGCTGCTTTGAATGATTAGGGAGATTAAGGTGTCTGGCGACTGGTTTGGATGCGTCCTTGTCATTTAAAATGGTAGTAAAATGATAGCTAGGCCGAATAGAATGGTCAATTTTATGCGGACAGAAACGAGGGAAGCGTTGGACATGAGTTGGTAATCGTGCAATTTTGCTTGCAAATAAACACTCATTGATTGTATTTTTACACTGTTTAACTTTGATATAGAATGGAGTCACTTCGTTTAGTCCTGAGCTGTCTTTGATCGTAACTTATAAGAGGTGGTGGTTCGAAAGTGCGTATAAGCGCAAATCTTCGTGAAGTGTAGTGGTTGCAAAAATATAAACAGCACCTCACCTTAATAAACAACTTACGCTTCTTTGTTCTCTTAAAAGGTGACAGCCTATACGTATAACTGGGCTTCAGATATAAATACTACCCTCGACAAACAACTGCACCGGCTGATAAACTGGAGTAATGTTCGTTGCCACCTTACCTATTGTCTTCTTAGTCAAAAAATGGGACTTTACCATCACACATTATTTACAGACATCAACAAGGGCAAGGAATCGAAGGTAGATCAAAGCTTTCATGAGTCTTCCATTGAGACATTTGCTATTTTTTCGGCGTCTCACGTCCACCCATCAAAACTAAGGAATTGTCATAAGCTATTGTTAGTTTTTCATGATACAACATAATCGAATTGTATTTGAGATGCAAAATTTTGCAGCATTCAGAACGTTGACTGAATTTGTGAAGATGTCTTTGGTAGTAACTAACATGCTGGTGACTGAGTAAGCAAAATAACCCGATTTACTCAGTGCTTTGTTTATCGCAAGTTCACAAGATAAAGTATAGAGAGGGTAAGTTTCTAAAGAAACTGCTGTACTGCGTCGGTGGGAGAGTATAACAGGGTAATTTAGTGTTATCAACTGAGTCGACAACGTAAATTGGCCACTGTGAAGAGTTTTAAAGCTGACGTTTCGAGCGTTAGTCCTTCTTCAGACAAAGTATTTCGAAGTCTTTGTCTTTTTTTGCCTCTAATATTGGTCTGCGATTTTGAATGAACTGAATGTATGTCAATTTTCATTTATCCGAAGTCTTGCATAGCAAGTTTTTTGGTTTTGTTTGTTTGTTTTTTCCCTGACTTCTAAATGAAAAAAGTATGCTTTTTTTAATTTTCAGGACATGAATCCTTTCTGTTTATCAGCCAATGATAAGGACATGTCACTCCTGATAAGTCATCCAGGGCCACCTGCGCCTGATGTAAGTAGATAATAGTCGTTTTTTATGAAATATTCTATGACCCAACAATAGAACTGATTCCTGATTCATGCAAATATGTGCTTGTCAAACAAAACTATGTAATATCCCAATATCGTTGAGGGAGATAGACTAAGCTTTCAAGAGCCAGGGCGGTCTTCATCATTTGCAGCTAGAGAAATTGGCCTACCCCGAAGAGAATTTTTATTGTTCTGCTCTGAAACAATGTTTGTCGTTGTGTCAGTATCTAAGCAACTACGCACCCACCCCTCCCCTAACCCCAAAACAGTCAACTGATTATAAGTTCCACTGATTTGTTGTTGTTTGATGTTATCGATACTTCAAACTTTTATTTTACCCTTTTTGAGGTTTCGTAATGTGTAACAACGTGTTCGAAAGAAAGCTTAAATTTCTTTGTTCAAATCAGAAGTGTTTGATAGGCATACTGATTTTTTTCAGCGTGCTGTGCCGAGATCAATGCCGCCGTCTCCGAGTATTCTGGTCTTTGATAAAGTTCTACGTGATGTCACGCCTCCCAGACCTCTTTACCGCACTCCTTACTCCCACAACCGAGATCTTGTGAAAAGGCATGGGTACCAGTTTCAGGTGAGACTGAGTCGCGGCTTCGTTATTCTTTATTCTTCGTTACTTATGATTAATCCTCTCGACTTCGTCACCAGGATTAATCAACGCTATTTACTTGGCCTTCGGCGAATAATTGTTCCCCAACTTTAGTGGAAGACATTTCTTTAAGCCTGGATCAGGAGTCTCCTTCTCTTTCACATCATTTTCGCTTGAATGTTTCCCGTGTGTCTTTTTGGAAGGTCCACTCATCATATAGCACGACACTAAATAACACCACGATATGATCTATATGGGACGGAATCGTGACTTCTTTCCTTCTTTCTTTTGTTTTCCAGGAGATTCGGTCAGTCCAGATCAAAAGTAAGCAATAATCACTTCAACGTGTCTTAATGTCATTACTTCATGCGGCCTCCCGTAGCGACCTCAGTGCTTATTTTCTTCACTCCTGCTTTGATAAAATTGGTTTGACTCTTTCCTTGTTCTCTTATTGTTGATTTGCAGAGGCGATTTTGGGGAAGAATTTAGACGAGCTGTATGTCATGTGGCAGCGTAGGCCTCCTCACGTTCAGATCAGTGTAAGTTGGTAGAAGTTACTTAGCTGCCCAATAATTAACGCCCAATCTCTTAATAAACAAGGGATGACTGGGGAATTTCCAGGAATAAACAATACCCCTCGAAACTCCTGCCCAGCAGCCAGGAACAAATTCAGTGGTTATTGACGTATCTGTAGGTCACACCGTTTAGATTATGAGGATCAACGTAAGTATCTTAGCAACCGCGCACCTACTCCTCTCCTAACCCAATATTAACCCTAACTTTTATGACTGTCGTTAGTGTAGGGAAGGGGTAGGTGCGTAGTTGTTCAGATACTGACATTAATCTGTTTATGACATGACTTACAAACTTTCACATCTTTCTGTTGTTTTCTCCAAGTGAATGTTTCCTTTTTTTCTGGTTGATGACTTTGCGTTCTGTACCAGATTTTTTAAGTATTATTCTGGAACTGTTTCACAGGAGGATAAAATCGAAACACTCAAGCGCTCTTCCAGGTTAATCCACTATTGTGCAGCTCCTCTCTTGTTCCACCCAGACTGGAGAAAGCTGCGTTCTTCTTACGCCCCTGAGAGTAGCACCGTGACCCCAGAGGAAACGTCCAGCGAAGATAAAAAACAGGAAACTAAGGAAAGAAAAACAAGTAAAGCACAGAAAACGATTGACGGTGAGTGCCAAAGGATTGTAATACGAATCTGTGAATCTAGTTATTGAGTAAGTTTCTTATTTTTTGGAGTAA